GAAAGGAATTTGGTTTAATTTCTGTTTGCTAGTGGGAGGAATCATCAAATGGTAAGATGTGTCCAGTAACCATATATGTTATCCTTCCCCCATAAAGCTGTTAGGAATTGGTTGCATTCATTTCCTATAAATAAGCACTCCATGGTGAAGGAAATAAGACAAATAGAAGAGAATTTTTCCATTCTCAAAACTTCAATGATTTTACCAATTGCAAGGATGAAACTTAAAATGAGGTTTAGAAAGTTAAGTTTGGGTAGTTGCTGCCTTAGATTGGGAGAAGTAAGAGGAACACAAGTCCGAGTGTTCATGAGTTGTTGGTTGGTTGAAGAGACCCATAATAGGGTTGTAATGTGGTGGCTATTGGATAAGAATGCTATTATTAGTTAATTTGCAGTATCACAATTTTATCAGAACTGTAATTATGGAGATGCTACAATCATGATTCATGTCTTCCGGGGTCATAACTCATGATTATAGCCTATTCGGAACACTAGGTCTTATTTTAAGAAAATTTTATTTTGGATTAATTTTACCTCCAATTTATATTAATTTATACCTAATATACACTCGTCTTAACCAATAAATTAGCACCAGAACCTAGTGCTATATATATATATTGTAGATTCCAACATTTAAATAAACAAGATGGTTTGATTATTTTTGGTTAATTGTATTAATGATATATACAAAATATAAAAATTCCGAATAAGATCAGTGTACACCATTCTATGTACTATGGAGAGAATCACTTTTCTGGCAACATTATGGTCAAGGTGCATGAAAAGTTCTCGGATATAACTATCTCCAACTTACATCCGAATTGAGAGATTATTATTTGGCATTTAGGATCCCACATTCTCTATGTTTTATTTCTCTAGATTGTTTTGCTTAGCATAGCTTGTTACCATTAGGAGGAAGTCTTAATTTCCATTTTTTTGAGATAAAAAGTGTATAGTGTAAATATTAACAAAGGTACCAAGGGGGTACCACTCATATACAAAAGAATTACAAGTCAGTTAGAAGATCAAGAACATCCCAAAATTTTCCATCCTATAAATGTCGTAACCCGAAACTAAAGAATAAAAAATATTTAATCACCTATCTCCAGTATTAACATTCTCCCCTTCAACCTCCTTAAAAGTTCTAGCATTCCTCTCATTCCATATCATCCAAAAAACGAATAAAGGGCCAAGATTGAGATAAGTTTTCTTTTTACAATTTTCCACTCACACCCGTAACTCATCTCTCACTAACCCTACAATCACCCAATTAATCCCTAGAAATCCATGCACCATACTCCATAAGTTATACACAATCGGGCATCAAAAAAGAATGTGGTTATAGGATTCTGCAGCCATCTTGCATAAAAAATAGTAGTTCACTACATTTTCCCCCTTCACGAGTTTATCAGTGGTCAAGATGCCTTCTCTACCTGCTTCCTAAGCAAAAAGAGAAATTCTTGGTGGGGCTTTCACCTTCCATATCTGATTAATCGAAAAATTAACTGTCCCCACCCCTTCCCTCCTTGTCGGATACTTGTAATTTGATTTGATAGTGAATTCCCCTTTGTGTTTATTTCCTTCTTTTCTTAATAAAGCTTCTTCTTTCTATTCCTAAAAAATCCAATATCTTTTCCTGTGGGGTGACTTTGAGGAGCAAAAGAGGCTTCACTTGGTTGGCTGAAACATGGTAAGGCTTCTTTGCTTGAGAGGTGAGGTTGGGATTAGATCAGTGGGTGAATTCCATAAAACTCTTCTTGGTCTATGGCTTCAAAGATTTATGAATGATTGAGGTAATCTTTGGTTGAGGGTGATCAAAACTAAATTTGGGATGGAGACGAGGTGACAGAGGTCCATGTAGTCAAGACTCCCACATGGCTTGGGTC